ACTTTGAAACCTGTTGAAAACAATTCAAGTTTTCAAAAACTCTTGCAACCATGCCAACCAACTTATTTTAATAAACCATCTCAGTTCTTAATCCATACTAAACTATTCTCAGAATGATGGCAGTCTTATTCAGTTTGAGCCACCTTTTCATTTTCAGTGACCCAAAGGTCTTTGAGAGCTTTCTTTCAAACCCACACAGTTTATAGTTCGAGTGCCTACATTAAGTGTAACATTTCATTCATATGAAGTAATGCAGATTCAATATATGCAGATAGGAAAATAGACGTAATAACACCACATATTTTTCTATTTGTACATTTTTTCCTTCCTCACCCCCACCAAAACAAAATGTATGTACTGAATACAATAGTCATACCAATTAAAAATTAGAGCATTTAACCCCAAAAACTAAATATTTTGAAAGAATTCATTCTTGAAACAAGCATTATAATGACAATTCCAGAAGTGTATCACGTACAAGTTCTCTCTATAGTAGGTAAATCCTATAAAAGGCAGCTGATTTCCAACAAAGGCTTTGGGGATTGGAAATGTTTCGACATCTCCTTTATCATCTTCAATGTCATCAAAATTGCTGCTATCTATGTCACTACTGAGCTCAGGTACAACTGGTGCAGCAGCTAAAAAAGTGAAAAAGACCTGTATTAGAACAAAATTCATTGACTATAAACCTCAATACCAAATTGAACAACACATTCCATTACAAAGAGGAGACATTTGTAGCAGTCAGGCCTGCAGGGTCCCAAGCAGCACAGAGCATGGCTAGTTCCCAGCCACCTATACTCTGAAACTAGAAAGAGGAATTCTGAAAACAGTAGGGGTGCTGCTGAGTGAGTGAGCAAGTGTGGATGCATTTTTTTTGAAAAAGAATCCCAGAGTTGTATTCCATTTTGGAAATCCTAACTGTAACCTCAACAATATTTACAGTGAATTCAAACATTTTCCAAGCCAGCTACTGGACTGAAACCAAAACTGCTACAAATTTACAGGACCAGGACTAAACCCGCCCCCAACAAATGTAATTGTTTTATTTCCTGTGCATAATTTATCTTGAGAATGGATCACATTGATACTTGAGTTTAAAATTAAGCTTAAACATTTAAGCTTAAACTTCTGCATTTAATTAGCTTCTAAAGCTGGGGTAACATTTGCTAAGAGAATCAGCTGTGATCCATCAGGTCCGTGGTTAAAATTCTGGCTCAGCTATTGACTCACTAGGTGGCCTTAAGCAAGCCACACTGTCTCAGCCTCAACTGCAATATGGGGAAAATAATACTGGTCTACCTTATAGGACTGCTATAAGGATTACACAATAACATATATTATGTAATTTATAAATGTAAAGTACTACTATACCACCTAACTGCAAGTCTCCAAGCACAGCCAATCATGGGTAAGATTAAACTTGTAAAAAGTGATTACCCAGCCGAATTGTATGAAATTTGAGTGCAACTGGTAAGGCTACAGTCAAAGCAAACTGATTTTGAAGAAACAAAAAACAAAGTGGTACTTGGTCTTCAAGTTATGTCAAATGGATAATGTAAGAAACTTAGAACATTAAACCTTAAATATGTACATAAAAAACCACCAACCAGCTAATCCAGAGCATCCTTAGCAGCCTGGAAGCCCTAGCAGATCTACAGAACTTCTCCCTGGAAGCTAACAGTGAGGGAAGCTCCACGTCCCTTTGCACGTGCGTAGCTGTCCCTGTCACTGAGGCACACCCATGTGCTCATGGAGATCTGCACTGTAGGCAGTTACTATTGAAAGAAATGATACTTTTACACATATATTTATATTAAAACTTACGGAAAGTACACATGAGATTTATTTCAGGAGAATCTAACAGTTTCACAGTCTACGGATGTTCAGTTAGAAAATAATGGGTCCTCAACAATTTGCAGAAAAATGTGATACAAGCTTCCATAAAAAGAGACCATTTTAAATTAATACTAACTCAAAGCAGCATTCTCTTTTATATTAAAAAGGAACATAAATTTTCCAAACAAAAAAGGTACTTACTCTCTCGAATAGTATCCCAATTCCATTGATCATTCTTAAAGAATGGATGGTTTTTAATTTCTTCTACTCCATTCCTTCCGAGACGCACCTCCCTGAACATGGCAATTGAACCAAATTTTATATTAAAATAGACAGCATTCCATTTTAATTAAACATGTTTTAGATTCCATTTACATGCCAAGATGCCTAAGCACAGAAGAGACATGATCATCTATGACAGTTTTTCATCTATTGTAATTTGAATCCCCACACAGAGAGAGCCATTTGTTAGCACTCTCACAATATACAGAATGGCTAGATATCTCAATGTGCCACGTGTGGAATAAAATATATTTCCAACTGAACTGTGCAGGAAAGGAACACAGGAAAAGGCTTCATTTAAAAAAACCCTCTATATCTACAAAGTTTGCCAAACCACAGTACAAACATTTGGATATAAATGATGGAAGGAAAAGCTGGCTTCCAAACATAGACCAGTTATTCAGTATCTACTGAAGCAAGTATTTCAAAAACTGAGTCCCGCACCTCTTACTTAAAAGCATAGCCACACATGCACATTTTTTCCTAAAGACGTATAATGAACGCTTTATACAAGTGGCAAACTCATTACTTTTCAAAAGACCTTTTTCGCTTTTGAAAACTCGTAAAAACAGGCTTCTGTATGAAAACTAGTAAGTCACATGACAGATACTCATTCCTTGTCACTTTAAGTGTTTCAGTAGCAATTGTGTATATAAAGAGGCATTCTGTTTTAGATAACTTCATTGAGCACCGAGTTAACTGGGAAGGCACACACAAGTCTAGGGAAAAGGGAAGTAGACAAAGCACTCTTTTAATTAGGTCAAAAGTTCTTTTCATATAGCATCTTCTCCACCCTTCTGCCTCTTCTCGTACATAAATATGGGCAGAGTCTAAAGTAACTTCTCCAAAATGGACCCTCGTCTGCTGTCTAAGTATGTGCTCAGCAGACAACATAATCTGTCCTGTAGCCAGACTTTTTAAAAAAATCTACAAATTAAACAAATTATGGTCCCTACAGCTGAGTAAGTGGAAGGAGCCCATGGATTCTGCTTACACTCAGTAATCAGTCACAAAGGTTGGGAGATTCCAGTAAACAAAACCTTGCTGGAACTGCAGTGAGGAGGGAGGATAAAGAGGTTCCTGTTTGATGCATATCTTTGTGTTTCTATAGAACTCCCTTCCAATCCCACCAAGCAATTTCTTAAGAAGGAAACATCACTTGGTAATTAAGAACATAAGAGAGGCCATGTTGGACCAGGCCAATGGTCCATTCAGTCCAACACTCTGTGTCACACAGTGGCCAAAAACCAGGTGCCATCAGGAGGTCCACCAGTGGGGCCAGATTCCAGAAGCCCTCCCACTGTTGTTCCCCCAAGCACCAAGAATACAGACCATCACTGCCCCATATACCTTATGACTAATAGCCATGGCTAATAGCCACTGATGGAACTCTGCTTCATATGTTTATCTAATCCCCTCTTGAAACTATCCATGTTTGTAGCTGCCACCACTTCCTGTGGCAATTAATTACATGTGTTTGGGCGAAGAAGTACTTCCTTTTATCTGTTCTAAACCTACTGCTCATTAATTTCACTGAGTGTCCACATGTTCTTGTATTGTAAGAAAGGGAGAAAAGTACTTCTTTCTTGATCTTCTCTATCCCATGCATAATTTTGTAAACCTCTAACATGTCACCCCCCTCAGTTGTCATTTCTCCACGCTAAAAAGCCCTAACCTCATTAATCTTTCTTCATAGGTAACATGCTCCATCCCCTGAATCATTTTAGTTGCTCTTTTCTGCGCTTTTTCTGTTGCTATAATATCTTTTTTGAGGTGCGGTGACCAGAACTGTACAGAGTATTACAAATGAGGCCACACCATCAATTTATACAGGGACATTATGATACTGGCTGATTTATTTTCAATTCTCTTCCCTTTTTAAACCTTTTTTTACCTTTTTAAAACCTTTTTTTTAACCTTTTTTATTGCCATCACACACTGGGTTGACATTTTCAGAGAGTTATCTACCACGACTTCAAGATCTCTCTCCTGGTCAGTCTCCGCCAGTTTGGACCCCATATTAATGTGTATTTATAATTAGTATTTTTGGCTCCAATGTGCATTACTTTGCACTTGCCCACATTGAACCTCATTTGCCACGCTGACACCCGCTCGCCTAAGCCTCAACAGATCCCTCTGGAGCGCCTCACAATCTTCTCTGGTTCTCACCACTCTGAACAACTTAGTGTCATCCACAAATTTAGTAACTTTACTGCTTATTCCCAACTCCAAATCATTAATGAACAAGTTAAAAAGCACTGGATCCAGAAACGAGCCCTGCAGTACCCCACTGCTTACCAACCTCCACTGTGAAAACTGCCCATTTATATTCACTCTGTTTCTTGTTAATTGACTAGTTTTTAATCCACAAGGGGACTTGTCCCCTTATCCTATGACTGCTGTATTTACTTAGGAATCTTTGACGAGGAAATTTATCAAAAGCTTTCTGGAAGTCTAGGTAAGCAGCATCTATTGGGTCACCCTGGTCCACGTGTTTGTTCACCTCCTTGAAGAACCCTAACAAGTTCTTTAATAATTGATTCCACCAACTTACCCTGTATTGACATTAGCCTGACCAGCCTGTCATTTCCAGGACCTCTTCTGGAACTTTTTTTTAAAGATGGGGGTTACATTAGCTACCTTCCAGTCCTCAGGAATGGAGGTAGATTTTAATGATAGATTGCATATTTTTCTCCGGAGATCCACAAGTTCACTTTTCAGTTCTTTCAGAATCTTGGATGTATGCCATCCGGGCCTGGTGATTTGTCAGTTTTTAATTTGTCCATCAGTTGTAGGACCTCCTATCTTGTCACCTCAATCTGACTCAGGTCTTTCAACGACCCTCCTAAAATAGGCGGTTCTGGAATAGGCAAGCATCTTCCATCTTCCACAGTGAAGACAGAGGCCAAAAAATGTATTGAGCTTCTCTACCATTTCCCTGTCATCCTTTTACCCCCTGGTCATCCAAGGGCTCTACACTGCCTCCCTGTATTTGAAGAAATTTTTATTGCTGATATTTATTTATTTTTGCAATATGTTCCTCATAGTCCCTTTTTGCCTGTCTGATCACCGACTTGCATTTTATTTGCCAAAGTCTGTGCTCCTTTTTATTTACCTCACTCAGACTAGCCTTACACTGTTTAAAGGAATCCTTCTTACCTTTTACTGTCTCCATTACTTTGTTCGTTAACCATGAGAGCCTTTTTTAATTCCTACAAGCCTTATTATTAACAACAACAACATTTGTACCTTTCCTAACCTGTGGTATACATTTTATCTGAGCTTCTAGGACTGCAATTTTAAATACTCTCCAAACTTCCCAAAGGGATTTGACCATCCTTTCTTTCCCTTACAGATTCTTCTTCACAAGCTCCCTCATATGAGAGAAGTTACCCCTTCTAAAGTTAAAAGTGGTTGTATTGGTCTTTTTGGGCAACTCCCTATTTACATGAACTTAACAACATTATGGTCACTTTCCAAAATTATTGCTGGAAATACTTATTAAAACCCTGATTTTGATTATTAGTGGATTTTCACTGATTTGCTATCATAGGATAGGTCCAATATTATTATTTGTTAAAAATAAGCTTAATTAAAGTATTCTTTGATATTACAGTTTACATCAAGGAATCAATTTTAATAAAAGAGAAAAACATAGATTTACATACCTGTCTGTTAAGAAGGCACAGATAAGGTCCTTCGCATGTTTAGAGATTTCTATATCATCTGGGAAATGTAATGAGTTCTTGTGATCCATGATTTTACTGTATGTCCCCACCAATGAGTCCGCATAAAATGGAGTATCCCCTAAAATTAAAAATGCATAAGTATTAACAATTGTAAATCAAATACCCACAATGAAAACAGAAAAAGTAAAAAGAGATAAAAACATATAAACCCATGAAGATTATCCAGCAGATCCAACTAGTACAAAATAGGGCAGTTTGCATATTGGTTAGAATGCACAGGTGGGGAGAATGTTATTCCCATTCTGGAATGGGTTCATTGCTTACCTATATGTTTCCTTTTCTTTCCTTTCCTTTTGTACCCTTAGAAGCTCATTGATTCACATATCATGAGCAGCAGAAGACACTTATTTCTTATTTTTAGATACAAGGGCTAAAAGGACTAAGACAGATTTTGCAATCGCTAGAGTGATTTTAGGATTCCCTATATGCTTCCATATCCAATTTAAATTTTGATCTTTAAAGCCCTAAACAATCTGGGGCTAGTTTACTTGAAGGGCCTACTTTCTTTCTATTCACTAACTCAGGTTCTTTCAGGGCCTTCTCAATGAATACTCCCTTTGCTTTGTCTGATCAGCCATAACCCCTGAAAGACATCTCCCCCACCAGTTAAGATGTGCTTCTCAAGTCCTGCTGTCTGTGCCCCCATCCTTCAGATGTGAGGTGGATAGCAACTACAAACACGGCATTTTCTGCAGCAGCACCTCATTTTTGGAATGCCCTCCCTCCCTCAAGGCTTGCCTGGCACCTACTTTATTTTCTTTTAGGCACCAGGATAAAACCCATCTTTTCACCCAGGCTTTTAATCACTATTGAGGGACAAAGTAAGAAGAATTTATTACTCACCAACTAGCATCTCAAACAGAAAAACTCCTACAGACCACCAATCACATTCCCGTCCATAATAACCATCACCCCCTTGTGACTTTAATACTTCAGGTGATATGTAGTCAGGTGTTCCAACTGCTGTATCACAACGCACCATACCTGTCTTAATAATTACACGAAATACAACAATTAAACAGTACAACTGATTAGTATGGTGGACGAGTAAGCTACATTTTTTAAAAATAAAAGTAATGTTTTTGTTAAAAATATAACTCTAAAATCACCCCCACATAAAATCACTTTCGTAAAGTGCATAAGTAAAAACAAATCTTGCTAAGAGGACTTAAAGAGTTAATCTAGGAGCTAAGTAGAATAAGTGAAAGTTGAGAATGCATGCTACATCCAATTCACAATTCCCAAATGGAAATCTTTACATTAAGCTTCAAGGACATTTGGACCTGATCCTAAAACAGCAGAAGGCAAGATATAGAAGCACCTCTGTTTAAACTGGGCAACTGAGTCCAGTTGTGGCTGCTTTCTTGATGCTCCAATAAAAGAGATGTCAGATATACAGACATATTTGCAGAAAACAAAGAATTTAAAAGAAAGTGGGCCTTTCTAAATATTTCTGTATTTTACCATATTACACACAAGAGTTATGTAGCATATAAAGTCTGAGTGGCAAGCAAGAAGCTGCTATTACAAGTTCAGCGTCTTTCAGCTGCAGCCCTCACCCTGCCTAGGGAACATACCGGGGTGGATCCAATCCCTGTCCTCCCACTCCACTGAGCAAAAGTCTGAAACCTTCCTCCACCTTCCTTCTGTTGAAGAAAGTGCCACTTAAGTAGGAGAAACACTCCTTAGGCTCCCTGCAGGAGAGTTGGATACATCCCATTAATGTTGGCCTACACTGATAATATCTTTAGATAGTGAAGTGCTTTGGATGCTCAAAACTGCTTTATAAACCATAAGTATTACAAAGTGTTCATCATTAAAAGGTGAGCACCTTCACCTCCACATAAGACTACTTCCTTTCATACTTCAAGGAGCATTGTATAGACAGTAAACGCTACCCAATTAGCAAGGATTAATTAATATATTTCAAATGGAGAATAAAGTAGGCCAGATGGGAATTCAATTCAATATTATAAACCTACCATATCATCTCCACTTCTGATGTCTGAATGAATACTAGATTATCAACTCCTTAACATAAAAGATTAAAAAATGATGGCTAAATGCAAGGCCTGCTTCTTATAACAAGTTTTATCTTTCAATAAAAAAAATATTCTACTACCAGTACCAAAATGTAATTAACATTTTGGATGAATCAGAAAAAAAAAAAGATTTTATCCAGATCCAAGAGAAAACCTGTCCTATAACCTCATCATGCGGCCACGAAAGCTCCATTGTGCCTCTGGTGGAAGTGCATGATGTCCATTCTCACTGCTAAAATACTGTTCGTAAGATGTTTTACAGCTGATTACTGTTCCATATATTATGCAAATGCATATAGAGAACTCATCTCATGTCATCATTCGCTGCTAAATATTGCCCATGGGACTGCAAAGATGGAAATTAAGTAATTCTTTGAAGAAGGTCCTGAGGTTAGAGGTTATAATCAAATTATCTTGAAGGTGGGTGGCGAGAAAAAATGGAGTCCTTCAAAAGGCCATCTCCCCATTCACAGTCCTAGAGGCATGGGAGGGAGCAAGAGTAAAGGGGGAGAACAGAACACCAAAGACATGACTGGAGAGAAAACACAGGCCAACAGCTTTATTGAGTACAACCACAGGACCACTAGTTTAGCACAGGGATTAATCCAGCAACGGGCAACCCACCTGCTGTCTGATATCACCCATTCCCCCAGCCCGCCTGCTAAGGAGCAAACCTGGAGTGGCAAACCCCAAGATCCCACATGTCCACAAGCCACTGTGTGGTTCCCTTGCAACCTGGTGGTGAGAGCTAGCTGACAGCCCCCAAGCTGGGCATGCCACTATATGACCCCACCCCCAAGACCCCCTCAAGGGGTCACCAAAACAGGGGAGACAGGCATTCAGACACAGCCTCCCTCAAGTGCATCCCAAAGCCCAAACTGCCACAAGAGCCAGGCAAATCACCTTGCTTCAGCCAAAGTTCCTATGGTTGCAGCCAACAAAGCTGCCAATTGCAAATCCCATGAAGCCAAATGTCCTGACCCATTCTGAGAGATGAACATCATCGGCCCTAAAGAGGGTTGTATGTCCAAAGGCAATGTCCAGATGCCACACAATGAAGCCACCAGCCACCTCAATGAGATACCCTGCCACCCCACTAAGTTTTCTTGTAGCAATATCAATCCTGTCCAGTAAGATGGCCCCATGCCATTCATGCTCGGACCAGAAGAGACACATATCTGGGAGACTGGAGATGAGTGTCTGTAAATCTGCAGTCATAACAATAGTGAAATCCACCCCTTCTTGACATGGAAGATCATTTTCACCAAGCTAAATGAAGATGGCATCCAGGGAACCCAGGTGAAAGACCTGGAGGGAGATGGTAGATAGAAGAGCATCCCAGTGCATCCCCTCTGTGACCCATCCAAGTGACCTGAAGACAATCCTCGATTCCCAACGTGGTTCTTTACCCAGAGGAGGCTGCATAGGCCCCAGCCCAGTAAATGATGCTATGACCAATGAACCATACTGCCTTGTGTTGCTATACAGGGGCTAAAAAGAAGAGGTGTTAGAGGCGAGGACTCCTCAGTAGAAGAGGAGCCCCGTGTAGCCAGCCTTGAGTTAACAGAAGCTGATCAGCAGCATCATGATCTGTCATGATTCACAGCCAACAGCTGGTGCAGATCCACCGACACCCTCCAGCAGGTGAACTGCAGTTGACCATTCCCAGCCCTCTAGTATAACCTACACCCTTAGAGTGCTGCAGACGGAGGCTGAGAACAGAGCTAGACAAGATGGCAATGTGCATGCCTCCTGATGCCAGCTGCTTGCTGATAATGAAGATGCGTAAATCAAATGAAATTTATTAATATGGTTCGTGACCAGCACAAGATCAGTTACAGATGAATATGAGTAGTTTCAGGATTGCTTCTGAGAAACTGATTGCAAGCATGACCCTTAGGCGTGGGGCTATAAACCCAGCCAAGAGATGCTGTTAGGCATGGACACAATGTGTACGATAGATGCTAAGCCACCAGTTCTGCCTTGCCTGATTTCTGAACCTCTGACCTTGGACTGAACAACTCTGCTTTGCCTGACTTCTGGACCCACTGACCATGGATCGACCAACCCTACCTTGCCTGAATTCTGGCACCTGATACTCAGAGCCTGCAAACCAGTACAGTGAGAGTCTTTTTGTCGGGGCATACCTCCTAGGAGCAACCCCCCAGTGTGGTTTAGAGTTTAAGAGTGGCAGATTCTAACCTGGAGAACTGAGTTTGATTCCCCACTCTTCCACATGAAGCCTGCTGGGTGACCTTGCACCAGTCACAGTTGTCTCAGAACTCTTTCAGCCCCACCTACCTCACAAGTTGACTGTTGTGGGGAGAGGAAGGGGAGACGATTGTAAGGTGCTTTGAGATTCCTTAGGACAGAGAAAAGTGGAGTATAAAAAACAATTCTTCTTCTTCCCCAAAGCTGCTGGAATAGCGTAGGCTTCAGGAGCAGGTGGACAGGAAACCAGATGCTCAACCAAGAAACAATGCATGGCCTGAGAGATGCCCTGCAAGACAGCCGTGCTGTTTGGCCTCATTGTGAGAAGCTCGTGCCTGAGTAGAAGGCTATTGGCTGCTGGGCAGAGTTTGGTCCAGGGTTGCCTTGCAGAGATACTCCAGCCTTGTTTACGTGTACAGGCACTAGGCACCTGTTTAGCTGAAATGGTACCCTTCTTAGGTGGCATAGCCAGCAAAGAAATGAAAGCCATTTAATTAACTTAATTTAAAAATTATTATTATTGTTATTATTATTATTATTTTTAATAATCTGCAAGCAGGGTTGGGCACTAGTGCTGCCAAGCAGTTGCTTCCCACAAGAAAAGTTGGAGGAGGGGGCACCAATGGAAACCAAGAACATGCTATTAGGTGTTCTGCCTAACAAATTACTGAGCATTTTAGAAGAGATATTCAAATACATGGTAACAGTGGCTAGAACTATTAACGCAGCAAAATGGAAACTAGACGTCTGTCCACATTTAGAAGAATGGAAAAATAAATCTGCTGAATATGCAGTAATGGCAAAATTAACAACCTATTTGAGAAACGGGTCTATTACCAAATTTGAGGAGAGATGAGTGTATATTATGTGCATTATGCTCACAGGAGACAAACTTAAAGTGAGAAAATATCATATACAAATGTATGGTAATGAAACTGAAGAAGTATTAAAATCTGTTCCAAATTTAGTATCTCCAATACAAATGGGTTCTCTATATGAGACCTATAATAGACTTTCTTTTACACCATGATATACTACTTATCTATTAAGGGCTCTAATGAATATACAGAAGTAGCAAATATATGTTATATTGAATATGTAGTAATCATGAAACCAGTGTTGTAGTCAAAATAGATTACTTATGAAGTTTGAGACTTAAACCTTAAATGATTAATACAGTTGTACCCCAACAAAAATAAGAACTATTGTATTTTATAGATAATACCTTAAAAAGTATAATGAAGGGGATGAAGGGAAAACATTTTCTGTCCTATACATTATGTACTACATGACTGTCTTTGACAAATGTAATTATGTTGTACTAAGATTAAGGCCTGTTGTGGAAATAAATACAACGAGCTCTAGAAAGAGGTTCTGCCATTATCTGCCCCCTGGCTTCAGCTTTCTATCTCACCCCCCAACACACACCTGCAGCCTCTACCATGCTCTGAAGCCCTGACTGCTACATCATATTGGCTGTCATAGGTGGGCCATCTCAGCAGGGTATAAGGACACAGAGTCCATTATGTCTCCAGAGGAACTGATCTCTGCCATCTGGAGAGCAGTTGTAATTCAAAGTGATCTCCAGCCCTCACCTGGAGATTGGCAACAATGGTTCCCCAGGGGGAAAAGAACAGTTTTTCTTTGCAATGGGAACCAAAGCAACTTACATCATTATCTTCTCCCTATTTTGACTTGCACAACAACCCTGTGAGGTAAGTTAGGCTGAAAGTCT